AATTCTCATTCCAGGTAGATTTCTCAATGTTTGCACTATTTTTTACGGCAAATTATATGCAATGTCTTGCTTCTCAAAAAATAATTTTAAAAACTCATTGTTCAAAATTCGCGTGTGAGTTTACGTTTTTAAGAGGTGTTTCTGCACTTAAAATTCGGCGTTATTTTTTAATTTACACGGGAAAATCTCCTCCGCGACGATTTGGAAGGGAAGTTCGGAACCGATGCAACTGATATAAATATCTTTGATAAGATTTAGATACAAAGCCTGAATTATGGCTTGTTAACAGCGTTAACATTGGACAAAGTGTACATTAGCGACTTCACGTTGCAGCAAAGTTCAAGCCATGTGCATTGAAATGAAGTTGGATTAATAGATAGAACTTGCTATAAGAAACATCAAATAGGAAAAAAGAGGTGATACACTAAGTAATTAGAAACACTGCTATACACGTGGGTCAGCTTCTCCGTTTTTTTGCCTATGTACATGTGTAGGAGAAGCCGTTCAACATGAAAGTTCTATGCATTGTGCGTCTCTTTCGCGTTGATTTCCTGACAGGTTGGTATCTACGGATGTATACCCTATAATTCTCTGCAATAAACAACAGACTTTGAATAACAAAAGATAATTCCCCATCTTTTTGGTCTAGACCTTCTTAGTGTAAATTTCCTTCCAATTGATGTGTAATTAACAGGCGCTATCACGTGCAAGAAACAAGTTTGGATTTGCAGGTTCGGATCTTTTGGTAAATAGTCTATTCACTTTTGTAGAACCGCCTTTACCCACAAATTGCCACGTTTGAAGGGTGTTAATTAATACCACTTCTATAGTGCAGGGTTTGGATTTCCATCTAGACAGTATAATTACATCTCTATCTATCTCGCAGCTCAAATTATTCTTTCTGCTTAAAATTCCGTCCGTGTCTCTTTCTTTGTTCGACATACAAAGATTTTGAGTTAAAGATGACTAATTTTGCCATGTGAACAATATCAATAATTACCTATCTCCCCCAAGTTTTCTTTTTTGCGAATTCTTTACCAAAATAAAACTAACAAATCGCACTATTATTAAGAAAAGCAGAACCTAGGTTTTTAACGGACTTTTTTTAAATACACGAGCCTGACGAGGACATTTTTATCTGTTTTCATCACGTAGCAAGATATCCTGAAAGATATGTAGGTGGACATTATTTCTCTCAGAGTGCAAGAAGCACAGAAAAATACCTTGTTATAAATGTTACAACAGAAAAAAGACCTTGATGTAAATGCTAGTTAAACTCACATCGAGTATGCCGATTCTCCATCCCCGCTCTTCCAACATGCAGATCCGTTACTATACAAAACAGAAGAAGCACCAGTCTCACACAATTCATCCTACATTATTTTGACGAAAAGTTAAATCCAACATCGATATTATTATATATTAATCCAAACAATTTGGAATAAGAAATATACACAATTGTTTCACACTGCAGTAAACATTCGGTAAAGAACACGTGGTTTTTGTATGCATGTGTGTGTGGTTTTTTGTAGAAAAATAAATGTCAACCCATGATTGCTTTGATTCAGTTCTTCTAGAATAAAATCCGAGGGGAAAAATTAATTCTTCATTGCATTTGAAACCTGCATGGAATATTTGAAGACGTTCAAGTATTATACCTATTCTCTGCGTTTCCAACTTTTGGCACCTGAAAACTATGACTGTCTGTCAAAACATAAGTCCCGCCTATCAATATACCGCGTGATTTGGCGCACAAATGATCAAGAAAACGCACAAGTAATTTTTCAGATAGTAGCAAAATTTATATTAAAAGATGTATTTTTTAAACGTTTATCTTTACTGTCTTTTCATAAAGACTTTTCTTGATAATAACTGTGGGGCATCAACAATGTACGAACACAATATTTACTGGATCTTAAAAAATTTCCCCAAAGCTTCTTTGCTCAAAAATGCACTTAATCTTCTCCCATTTTCGTCCGATTTCTCAAACTGACTCGTTTTAAATATTGAAGGCATCAATAAAAATGCCCTCCAAAGTAGCTGTCTTTTAATCTTTTCAATCCAAACGAGGTCGATCCTATTTGAGGGTCATCGAAGAGAAGAAATTGACACACCCCCAAAGGAAAATAATGCATTCCGGTAAAAAAAATATAACATGAAAATCTGTATAATTTCATGAGAAAAATGGAAAAGGTCAACTTGGATGAAACTTGAGAGTGAAGCGTTTATTCAGCTATTTTTACAAGTCTGGTGCTTTTAAACGTCCCCAACAAAGATTTAAAAACATATCTCCCTAAATTCAATCAAGTAATTACTGGCAGAAGATTTTAAAGTTAGGACACTTTCAATGGTTTTAGTACAAAATACATTTTACACAGTTGTCCTATTTTTGACAATTACGCTGAAATTGACATAACGGGGCCCTGTTTACCGCAAGAAAACGTCCGATTGCTAATTTTGTTACCATTATTCAAATGACAAAACGGGTCTTCGCATTATTCGTCGAGTATTGACATATAACGAGTGGTAACAATAAGAGACAGTGTACAGCCGAATTTATCACAATATTTAAGGACGAGTAGCACTTTCTAAAGAAAGAAATATGAAATTTAGATATCAAACTCTGATATTGTAGTGGAAGTAAAAGATCAGTATCGTTATAAGCAGATGTCTTTTAACTATAATTAAAAATTTTAATTAGCGTTAACTTGACTGTATTTTGGTTTCAAAGAATCGGGAACGGCATACGTGGTGTCAGATTACAATTAACCAAGAAATGAACCTACAATAATTGGAGTTTGTGTAAGCATCAGAACTATGTGGTTAAGGCATCAAACATTAATTTCAGTTTGGAGAAGGCATTGGATGTGCGCTCAGTGTATTTCAGGGAAATCATTGTAAAATTACTTTCGCGTCATAGTTTCACTATCCAATTTCGCATTAATATTGAGTACATGTAATTTTTAATACATTTTTATTGATAATTACAATACGATATATTGTTATACCTTTAAAAACTAGTTCCTATATAAATCTTTTCTTGAAAAATAACCCCTGCAATTCCCATGTTTTATCAATCTAATTAAAATCAGACTTCTTAGATCCGCGCCGTATACTCTGCGTAAGATCTTCTTACGCAGCGTGTATACGGCGAGGATCTAAGAAGTCTGATTTTAATTAGATTGCATGTTTTATTGAACGGTCATTAAAAAAGATGCGATATTGGACAGCTTACGTCACACCTTGGGCGGGATCAGCCAAATCTCTTAAGCATTCGTTGGTGTTTGGCAATGACGGAATTGTTCGAGTTTAACCTCAGTGCTGGTAAATGAAATTTACATAACAGAAGCCAGCAAAACATATTTGCAGGTAAAAACATAAATAAAAGGTATAACAAACTATTCATTGACTGTTCCCTCAAACCCAATCAATAAATCTAAAATATTCCCAATCTCTCTCTTACTCACTGTCATACTTTCAACTATGGAGTACCTTTGTCAGTTTTGAGTATTACTAATCTTGTATATTGCCAAAAATATACCATATTATTGTCAACATGTATTAAGATGGATTTCTTATAAAATGCTATATATCCCATTGTATAAAAATCTAAACCAGAAGCCTCTGTCGAGACTGAAGCTCTACTGGTTTGTACTTATAGCAAAGGAAGAGAAAAGTACTTAAGCAGTTGGGAATTGAAACTTTTCTACAGCAATAAATAGAATAATGATCCTTGATTAAGTCTCTATGTTCTTAGTGTAGTCTACTTGCATGCCACATTATATTATAATCACACTAAAACTGTATTTGGAGTAGCATTTTGAGAGTATTTAACAGAAATTTCTATTTTTAGTAACCACGGCAACACCGTTCATTGAAGTGAAAAACTGATACATAGAATTATGTATCTTAGTGTAGTCTACTTGTGTGCCATGTTATATTGAAATCAGACCAAAACTGTAGGAGGAGTAGCATTTTGAAAGAATTTCACAGAATTTTCTATTTTTAGTAACCACTTCAACACCGTTCATCGAAATCTAAAACCGATATATAGAATTATGTATCTTAGTGTAGTCTACTTGTGTGCCAAGTTATATTGAAATCAGACCAAAACTGTAGGAGGAGTAGCATTTTGAAAGAATTTCACAGAAATTTCTATTTTTAGTAACCACGTCAACACCATTCATTGAAATAAAAAACCAATACACAGAATTATGTATCTTAGTGTAGTCTACTTGTGTGCCATGTTATATTGAAATCAGACCAAAACTGTAGGAGGAGTAGCATTTTGAAAGAATTTCACAGAAATTTCTATTTTTAGTAACCACGGCAACATCGTTCATCGAAATCAAAAACCGATACACAGAATGATGTATCTTAGTGTAGTCTACTTGTGTGCCAAGTTATATTGAAATCAGACCAAAACTGTAGGAAGAGTAGCATTTTGAAAGAATTTCACAGAAAATTCTATTTTTAGTAACCATGGCAACACCGTTCATCGAAATCAAAAACCGATACACAGAATTATGTATCTTAGTGTACTCTACTTGTGTGCCAAGTTATATTGAAATCAGACCAAAACTGTACGAGGAGTAGCATTTTGAAAAATTGTTTACAGACGGACGGACAGACAGCTAGACAGACAGACGGACGGACGAAGGACGCATTACTATCGCATAAGCTCTTCTGGTCTCTGACCAGTAGAGCTAAAAATATGAAGAAAAAAAACTTTAAAGCAGAATTATTAAAATGTTAACTTCTACACTAGATATTTATCTTGAAAAAAAAACCTACTATTAAAAATAGTTTGTTTTTAAAATTCATGAACATAAAAAGGTTAAACAAATTTTTATGTCCCATTGCAATAGACCTTAACTGGTCATTTTAGAGTAACCCCATATCTGTCTGATACATCAAATTTCTTAGAAGAATAAAATGAATAAGAATAAAATGAATATTCAACTCTGATTTTCAAGAAATTATAACAACACAACAAAGAAAAAAATATTAATAATTTATTACTTCATTTTCCGTTTAATTTTCCAGGTCATATTTTGTAATAAATTAATCCAGAGTCTATTGAACTCAATCCAATATATCACTGTTGCATCCATGGTAGCACACAGATAATCAGCACTTTTGTTGTATTTCATGACTCGATGGCGGAAAGATGGAAATTTCTACGTGATTACTCCTGTCCCCACTGTGGTAGCTAAAAAAAGAGAAACTCATTGAATATAAAAGGAATATTGAAATAAAGACCAAGCAATACTTGTAAATTTGCTTCCTCTAATTTAGTTGCAATTTCCAGTTCCTATTAAATTACTTACAACTGCGTGCTTTTCTTGTCAGTAGAAAGTCTATCACATCTTGCCAATGAAAAGATTTATTTCAACTAATATTAAGAGTTATTTCCCTTGAACTGTCTACTTACATCTCCAGTTTTGATTCCCAGTTTCTTTTCAATATTCATGGCAAGCATCTGTGATCTGAATGCCAAGCCTTTGGTTTTCTCGATGACTTGTTGATACGGGGACACAGCTTGTGCTCCCATCACAACATGGCCCTGTTGATGACAAATAATCATTCTCTAATTGTAAAATATTATAAAAGAGCTGATCCTAAAAATTTGTTTTTTTATAAAGGACAATATATTTTTTTACTGGAAATTTTCAGTTAATAAAGTTTAAGGATCAAAACCATTTTAAACTATTAGCTATTATCTTTTTATACCTTAAAATTAACTTTTTAACTAACCAGTTTTGAGTCAATTTTAGCATCCAGTCGAGCATTCCTTATGAGGTTTACAATCCATCTTTCAGCATCTTCCTCTGTCATATTCAACTTCTCTGCCAGCATGCTGTATTACAAAAGGTCAAAAAATTAGAACTATTTACAAATCAGTTGTCTCTAAATGGTGCTTCCAATTTTTACTATAGCTTGTGCAACTCAATAAACTTGAAAGCCACCGAGTTCAGATTTGGAAGGCACAAAGGGCATATTACAGTAGTTAATAATTCTTAAAGTTAATTTACTTTTAATGATTAAAATAAATGCTTCAGAGATATAGCATTATCTAACATTTTCTTTCAGACCATAATTTGTAAAAATATTTTTTGTACATTAAAACTTGTTTAGTAAAAACATGGATATTGCAAATTTATGGATATAGCCAAGTTATCTTGGATCCCCAACTATATAAATTTAATGAATCCTTATACGGATATAACGAATTACGGATATAGCAAAGTAATTTCATAGGTCTCAGTGACTTCGTTATAACTGAGTTTTACTGTAGAGGGATATAGTACACTAATTGGAAGGGGCAAACAGAGTACATGAACATTTATTTAAGCCCTATTCCCCTCCTAAGAAGCAGTCAGATCAACACACTGCTTTTTAAGCTGTAACTGTTATGTAAACAAACTTACTTTATGCTAATACATTCATGTATTCTACAGAAAGTTTCGAAGATCAGCAGGCGAGCATTCTCAATGAAGTCATCCAAACATGCCACCAAAAAGAAATCATTCACCAGCACCTGTAAATCAAATAATTCTATTTTAATAATGGACAAAGTAAAAGTTTAATGAATAATCTTATTGGAGACTACTTCTTATTTAACTAGAGGTGTTTGTGAAACTCTTAAGCCCCGCTATGGCAGCTTAAGGCTAAGGTTATTATTTTTACAAATGAAGGTCCAACTCAATGTCAACGTTAAAAGTTGGTTACTATTAACAAAAAATTTTGTATCAAGGTATTAAAAGTGTGAGATAAGAAAGCCCTAGCACTAACCATTCAGAAAATATTGCTAGTTCAAACTTCCAAGGTCATAAGGTCAGAATTACTAGTACATATTGGTAGCAAAGAAAAATTTGTCACAGAGTTGATATTTATATGTAAAAGCCCTAGCTGTGCACCAACCATTCCAATGTTATAGGCAAGGTTAAAGTTTTTATACCAAATGTACATCAAACTCCAGGGTGTCAAGGTCAAGAATTCAACCAGAAGTCTCTGTCAAGACTGAAGCTCTACTGGTTTGTACTTATAGCAAAGGAAGAGAAAAGTACTAAAGCAGTTGGAAATTGAAACTTTTCAACAGCAATAAATAGAAAAATGATCCTCGATTAAGTCTCTTTATGTTCTTAGTGCAGTCTACTTGCATGCCACATTTATATTATAATCAGACTAAAATTGTATTTGGAGTAGCATTTTGAAAGAATTTCACAGAAATTTCTATATTTAGTAACCACGGCAACACCGTTCATCCAAATCAAAAACCGATACACAGAATTATGTATCTTATTGTAGTCTACTTGTGTGCCAAGTTATATTGAAATCAGACTAAAACTGTAGAAGGAGTAGCATTTTGAAAGAATTTCACAGAAATTTCTATTTTTAGTAACCACGGCAACACCGTTCATCCAAATCAAAAACTGATACACAGAATTATGTATCTTATTGTAGTCTACTTGTGTGCCAAGTTATATTGAAATCAGACTAAAACTGTAGGAGGAGTAGCATTTTGAAAGAATTTCACAGAAATTTCTATTTTTAGTAACCACGGCAACACCGTTCAGGGAAATCAAAAACCTGTATACAGAATTGTGTATCTTAGTGTAGTCTACTTGTGTGCTAAGTTATATTGAAATCAGACTAAAACTGTAGGAGTAGTAGCATTTTGAAAGAATTTCACAGAAATTTCTATTTTTAGTAACCACGGCAACACCGTTCATCGAAATCAAAAACTGATACAAAGAATTATGTATCTTAGTGTAGTCTACTTGTGTGCCAAGTTATATTGAAATCAGACTAAAACTGTAGGAGGAGTAGCATTTTGAAAGAATTTCACAGAAATTTCTATTTTTAGTAACCACGGCAACACCGTTCATCCAAATCAAAAACTGATACACAGAATTATGTATCTTATTGTAGTCTACTTGTGTGCCAAGTTATATTGAAATCAGACTAAAACTGTAGAAGGAGTAGCATTTTGAAAGAATTTCACAGAAATTTCTATTTTTAGTAACCACGGCAACACCGTTCATCGAAATCAAAAACCGATACACAGAATTAGGAATCTTAGTGTAGTTTACTTGTGTGCCAAGTTATATTGAAATCAGACCAAAACTGTAGGAGGAGTAGCATTTTGAAAGAATTTCACAGAAATTTCTATTTTTAGTAACCACGGCAACACCGTTCATCGAAATCAAAAAACAGAATTATGTATCTTAGTGTAGTCTACTTGTGTGCCAAGTTATATTGAAATCAGACCAAAACTGTAGGAGGAGTAACATTTTGAAAAATTGTTTACAGACAGACAGACGGACAGACAGACAGCTGGACAGACAGACAGACGGACGGACGACGGACGCATTACTATCGCATAAGCTCTTCTGGTCTCTGACCAGTAGAGCTAAAAATTATAGGTACATAAAGAAATGTCTGTTCACAGGGAAAAGGACATCGAATAACAAGAAAATTCAAGTTGATTGTCTTTTCAGGTTCTAAGAGATACATGTCTACATATATCTCACCTCTTCACATTCTCTAAGTTTCTGTTGAGCTCCATCAAAGTCAAAGTTGACATAGAGACATTCCACAAACTCTGTGATGGGGTCCTTGTATTTGTAGCTTTCCTGCATCAATAAAAAGAATTTGGTTTAAAAAGTAAGATAAGTAACTCTTCCTCTTATTATACCCGCACTTTCTAAAGAAAGTTCGGGTATATTGTTGTTACTCATGTCCGTCCGTCCGTCCGTCCGTCCGTCTGTCACACTTTTCTTCCCTGAACTCCTCTTACATTTTACACAGTAGGCTAATCATCTTTTGGGAGATGGTTGGTGGTGTCATGTAGATGTGCAGTAAGGTTTCGGAATTTTGATTTCGCCCTGGGGGGTCAAATGGGGGTCGAAAAATGACGTTTTTTATGCAAAAAGCCCCGTCTTCCCTGAACTCCTCTTACATTTTACAGAGTAGCCTAATCATCTTTTGGGAGATGGTTGGTAGTGTCATGTAGATGTGCAGTAAGGTTTCGAATTTTGATTTTGCCCCGGGGGGTCAAATGGGGGTCGAAAAATGACGTTTTTTATGCAAAAAGCCCCGTCTTCCCTGAACTCCTCTTACATTTTACATAGTAGCCTAATCATCTTTTGGGAGATGGTTGGTGGTGTCATGTAGATGTGCAGTAAGGTTTCGGAATTTTGATTTTGCCCCAGGGGGTCAAATGGGGGTCGAAAAATGACGTTTTTTATGCAAAAAGCCCCGTCTTCCCTGAACTCCTCTTACATTTTACACAGTAGCCTAATCATCTTTTGAGAGATGGTTGGTAGTGTCATGTAGATGTGCAGTAAGGTTTTGGAATTTTGATTTTGCCCCAGGGGGTCAAATGGGGGTCGAAAAATGACGTTTTTTATGCAAAAAGCCCTGTCTTCCCTGAACTCCTCTTATATTTTACACAGTAGGCTAATCATCTTTTGGGAGATGGTTGGTGGTGTCATGTAGATGTGCAGTAAGGTTTCGGAATTTTGATTTTGCCCCAGGGGGTCAAATGGGGGTCGAAAAATGACGTTTTTTATGCAAAAAGCCCCGTCTTCCCGGAACTCCTCTTACATTTTACACAGTAGCCTAATCATCTTTTGGGAGATGGTTGGTAGTGTCATGTAGATGTGCAGTAAGGTTTCGGAATTTTGATTTTGCCCCAGGGGGTCAAATGGGGGTCGAAAAATGTTTTTTATGCAAAAAGCCCGGTCTTCCCTGAACTCCTCTTACATTTTACACAGTAGGCTAATCATCTTTTGGGAGATGGTTGGTGGTGTCATGTAGATGTGCAGTAAGGTTTCAGAATTTTGATTTTGTCTCGGGGGGTCAAATGGGGGTCGAAAAATGACGTTTTTTATGCAAAAAGCCCCGTCTTCCCTGAACTCCTCTTACATTTTACACAGTAGGCTAATCATCTTTTGGGAGATGGTTGGTGGTGTCATGTAGATGTGCAGTAAGGTTTCGGAATTTTGATTTTGCCCCAGGGGGTCAAATGGGGGTCGAAAAATGACGTTTTTTATGCAAAAAGCCCTGTCTTCCCTGAACTCCTCTTATATTTTACACAGCAGGCTAATCATCTTTTGGGAGATGGTTGGTAGTGTCATGTAGATGTGCAGTAAGGTTTCGGAATGTTGATTTTGCCACGGGGGGCCGGGACTAATGGGGGTCGAAAAATGATGTTTTAGAAATGTCTTAAATCATTTCTTTAAAACTAAGCGAAATACAAATTAAAAAGGATGGAGGTCAAGGTCACAGGAATGTGCAAGGTGAAGTTTTTGATGCAGTTGAGTAGCTTCACTAATACATATCAGCATATTATGTTTGATAAAAATATCTTGAATGATTTAATGAAACTGAGCTTAACACCTTTTCTAAAAAAAAGAGAGGTCAAAGAAAAGGTTGGGGCCAAAATGTTGTTGCAGTTGAAAAGCTTACATCAGTATGAATTTACTATTAGCATATGAAGTTTGATAAAACTATAATTAATGTTTTATTTAAAACTTAGATAAACACATTATTTAAAAAGTGAGGTCAAGGTCAAAGGAAAATTCAAGGTCAAAATGAGTTGATGTATTAATATCTCTCAGCAGTATGTATCAGCATATGAAGTTGATAAATATATCTTGAATTGTTTATTCAAAACTGATCTAGACATTAATTTTAGAAAAGTGAGGTCAAGGTCACAGGAATGGTCAAGGTAAAAAAGAGTGAAGCATTGTAAAGCTTACATCAGTATGCATCATCATGTGAAGTTTCATTACACAACTTGAACGGTTTCTTTAAAATAAAGCTAAACACTAATTTAAAGAAAAGTTAAGTGAAGGTCAAAGGAAAAGTCAAAGTCAAAAAATATTGCTGCAGTTGGATATTTACATCAGTATGCATCAACATATGAACTTTGATAAAAATATCTAGAAAGTTTCTTTGAGCCCAATGGAAAGACAGATAGAAGGGTGGAGGACAGACATGACAAAAACTATACATGTATGTATTCCTATTCATGGTGTGGCATAAAAAACTTGAATCTACATTATATGAGGATGTTTCCATCTATCAAGATTATACAAGCAAATTCAAAGAATTGTGGTCCTCTGCTTTCTGTGTTTTAGTGAATGGGATGCCATAATTTATGGCAGATTGTGTGTCAAATATGCACCCCTATCATATATCAATTTTTGAAAATTGGGTCAAAGGGGAAAAATCATAGCATGCTCTGAAACATTTTGTTGCAGGTAATGTACATGTCAAATATGAAAGTCCTATCTCTTTTGAATCAAAAGTTATATACAATATAATATTTTTGAAAAGTAAGTTAAACTTCTAGGTCAAGGTCAGAGTCAAAAGTCATGATATATTTAGAAAAGTCTTTTCACATGTAATAAACATGTATAATTTGAATGCCCTTTCTTTTCTCTTTCAAAATGATCAATTTAAAATATTATTTTTTGGAAAGTAGGTAAAACTTTAAGGTCAAGGTCTCACTTCGGTTAAAAAATCATAGCATATTTAGAAAGTTTTGTGGTAATGTACATGTGAAATATGAAAGCACTATCTCTTATTATTCAAAAGTTATGACCAAGGTTAAATTTATTGTGACAGATGCACATACTAGCTGTAAATAAGTTGGACAGACTGACAGACAAATGAGATTGTCCCCTCCCTTTCCCCAAAATGGGGGACAATAATGCCCTTGCTGTTCTTGAGAAGATTTATGATGGAAAAAATCCCCTGCATATTTCTTAACGCAGATCAATATTGTGTTTTTATGTCATTTTGTTTGTTGTTAAACATCCCTCTCAGGGATTTTTCACTCATATGGAGACACCACCACTTGAAAAATAATGAGGACAAGTTAGATTTGAGGTCAACATTCATTTTAGGAGTTTTCAACCATTAAGACGTAAAGAAATATTAACTCGATCCTTCCCCTCACCCCTTCCCAGACCCCTGTTTGTTCATGTATGCAAACTACAACTTGTTTTTACATTAAAAAAAAATGTTTGTACAAATAGTTTAATGTGGTCCATCTCTGAATGAATGAGTTTCATTCCTAATTCTTGAGGAAGATAGATTGACACAAATTCATGAATAAAATGTCAAGTAATCTTATCATCGATGCACTTTTATTTAATTTAATGCAGTCATATTGTGAACATTTCAGCTCATTAGGAGAGTGGGGATGACCTCTAGTGGTTCATAACCTTTAAATTTACATATCATAATAACACAAGAAACAAAATTATATATAGTGAAATGGAAAAAGTTTCCTACTATTTAGGAGTCACATGATCATTTGTCATTACAGGGACAGGGAAGTGGATTGGGAGATCGCCCCCTCAACAACTCCCCCCCCCCCCCCCCCCGGAATTTGCAGGACTATAATATATAGTGGAGGAAATTAAAATGACTTTGGATGCCCTAAGTGTCCCTCCACCCTAGGAAACAAACCCAACCTTAACTTCTTCTTCTTCTTTTTTTTTTTTTTTGCTCCCCAGGAAATTCTGGTCTGGACTCCCCCCCCCCCCCCCCCCCCCCTCCGTCCCAGAAAAAATTCTGGATCTTGTAACTGAATGTAACGTTGATAACGGGGGATAACTCTTCAGAATGTTAAATTCGTCTATTGTAAGTTTAGGATCAAAGGTCATCCGATGCTGAACCTAACCGTTTGCATTTCAAGACTATTTTACCCAAATCTATACCAAAACTTGTACTTACCGATTATCATTATTTAGGCACTGTCATCTTCATGAAATATAATCCAGTTAAAACACAAAATGAAATAATTCCTACTGACATATATGCAGTGATGCACACAAGTAGCCTACTGCACGTGCGAAATCTAAAATGATAATGCCAATGGTAAAACTAGTACTTAAGTTGGGTACGTGACGCAAGCCCAATGTGATGCAGGTGTTCAGTATTGTGCAAGAACAAATTATCATTATCACAAATTATCATTTACAAAAGAAGTTTTATTTTAACTTTGCCATCTAGGCCTATTTCCAAAAACAGGCAAATAAGGTGTGTTTGTGTGTGTGTGTGTGTGTGTGTTGATGGGAGAGGGGTGGGGGTTGACTAAATTGATTGTGTAGCTTTCAAGAAGTTTCTGCCTAATCAAGTATAAACTTTGCACATTTTGAAAAATTCATCAAAAACGCTTTACACTAATTTGAATAATATTATTTGTTGTTAATCTATATGAGAAAATATATTTAAAAAGTTCCAATCATGTGCCAAAAATTTATAAACCCCCCCCCCCCCCTTTATCAAACCTAATTTACATCATTAATTTAATTCCGTTGTTTAATTTCCGACTGGTAATGAATTTAGAATATGAAATACCTATAAGATGGAGGCCCATGGGTCACATGGTCACTAGCTGCAGATCTGTATAGCGTTATGGTTTCATATATTAGTCTTTGACCATAAAGCTACAGATCCTGTTATGCAAAAAAGGTGCAATTTACGGTGCAATATTTTTTGCGCACTTCTAGGGAGAATTTCTCCACTTTCCAGCATCGGTCAATTTACTACCTTTCACTCCCTAATTCTAGGCACATTATTTAACTAATATGTATATTTTATCCATCTCCAATCCTTTTATAGTCGTCTCTACACGTGATAAACTCGCTTGATTGAAATTATTTGTTAGATTGCTGAAAATTCACATCAAGCGAGTTTATTGCCTGTAGAGATGACTATAAATGGCTGAGAGGTGGACAAAATATACATTTTGACTATAGAATGTGTCTAAAATTAGGGAGTGAAAGGTAGTTGATTGACTAATGCTAGAAAGTGGAGAAATTCTGCCCAAAAGTGTGCAAAAAATATTGCGCCGTAAATTGCACCTTTTTAGCATATGGGGATCTGTAGCGTTATGGTCAAAGACAAATATATAAAACCATAACGCTGCAGATCTGCAGCTACATGGTCACCTGAGCATATTATGCTCAATTTGAAGAATACATGTATTATGTAAATTATTATATTTACATCCACTGAATATTTTCTTCTTTATTTCTTAAGAAAACCCATTGCGTTCATCACTGCATGAACTACATTACTCATATCACCTCTACAGATTTCTTGATCAGTGGCCGTTCCATCAATGAAACGTACAAAGACGTTCGCATCATTAACACAATAATTAATATTTTTAATCCTACTTAAAATGATATAAATATAAACAATAAAATGTCTTTCTTTGTTTGTTATTACTGGAATGATTTTTATTGTTTAAATATTGACTTTTTCCCTGGCAAAGCCCAATATGAAGAAGTGTGCATTTAGAGGCAAACACCTTAGTGCGGGTATTACTGTCTCTTGACAGCATCTAGTTTTACAAAGTTAATCATTTAAAATGTTTTTTTCCCTCCCTTGTTTCTGCAATCTTATCTAGATAGTTCTTGATAGAAGTTTGATTTTAAACATGTAAATCATTACCTGTTGAATGACCTTGACTAAATCTTTCATGACAGTCCTTCGTCTACTTTTGTTTGTAATGACTGCTGTGGTTAAATATCTAAGGATGTGTGGACATGTTGTTTGGATAGCATTCAGGTATCTGTAAGAATAAATCAATGTTATGTCATTGCAAAAGAAATGTGAGCTAGAGATAATGCATGTCAAACTTTTTTTTTTCATCTTTGGAAGGTAGATTGTAAATACTGTAATTGCATTAAATTTATTGGAAACTAGAACTGTCCAATAGGGACAAATACCCCCGCTGGGTTTTTCAGAGTAGGTGCAAATTCACAAATATTTATGGATCTAAAAAGAGGTGCTCACTATTTTCTTAGAAACAATTTGAGTGCTCATTATATATTTTTTCTAATTAATGAAACTGAGGTACAACCAAATAAAACATCAATACTTAGTCTAATACATTTTAACAGTTTTTTTTTTATTTCATTGAAAAAATAAAATGCAACTATTTGCAAATTGATTGTTGAAAAAACATTATACAGAATCAAATTAATCTATATAAATTTATATCATATTCATTTTAAAAATAATAAAGTGCAGTCAGCCTCAGCATGATACTCCCATCAAATATTGTTAATTCAATTATTATAAACAGTTTAAAGTGCAAGAAAATCATGTCAACCTTTAAAGGGATTTGCATAATTTTGCCATTCCTTATAATAATTGTTTAAACATCTCCTGTGGTGCAAGCTTCAATTATAACAAATAATCATCAACTGGTTGCATTAAAGCTTGACAAATGCCCCTCCTCCACAAACATACACATATACGCATGCCTTTCATGTGGGACATAATGATATGAAATTGGTCACTTGATATTTTCAAAAAAAAAAAAATATCAATTTAACTAATATGTCTTAAAAACTTGATCTATACCAAATTGATTTTAGAAATAGGAGACTGGCCATCAAATGACAAATGCTATTTAAACTGACCAGCAATTCTTCTGTCTAATTCCCAAAGGACACAGATAAAAGCTCCTTTAACAGAGATATGCTCTAACAGAAATGATTGGGACAGCTTAAGCTTCCCTACATAGAACTCATTAATTAATCTTTGACTGGATGCATGCCCACTAATTGCTATCAAGGGATGAATGGATCTTAACCTTCTCCTTTGTAGTGCAAACAAAATGCATTATTGCAAAATGCATTATTGCATGTGTCATTCTGAAATTAAATCTGAAAACAAAGATTTTGTATAAATTTGTTACAAAGATTTATACTGAAAAAAATTGTGTAATCATGATGCATCATTTTGAATAAGGTTCCTGCATGATTCTTAAGATTTGTAGGGACTGTCTACCAAAATTTTTTTTTTTAAATACTTGATTTATTTGGATTTTATATCATACTAAAAGTTTCAATCTGAAATTAATGTGGAGAATGAGCATGCTGATTCCAATCCCCCCCCCCCACCCCACCCCCACATACACACACAATATATTAATTAGTTTTAATCATATTAAACAATATAAATTAATTTTTTTCATACAATTTCAAATTAGTTTATTATACAATATCAAATTAGATTGAAGTTGCTTTTTCTCAAATTCATTAAAGACGTACAACACACTGGGGGAGATAACTCTTGCGATCTCAATTAAACATTTGACATGACGTCAAATTTAACGTCAAAAATAAAGCGTCAAAACGACGAGTGAAACGATCCCGATGTATATTAATTATGAAAGAAAATTGAGATATGGGGCTTGGCTGTGATTGTGCGTACCATACTCAATCAATAAGTATTTTTTTAATTAACCCGATTAAACTCCGTAAAAATGAAGACATAAAATACCACCCCTTAATGTTAATTTCATTTCATTTCATATACAATAAATTGTATTTTTGATCAAAGCGCAGCATTTTTTTTATTCTGAAAATTTTATTTTACATTGCCGAAATTCTCATTATGTACAACTGGCTATATAACATTCCGATTAATGGTCTTCATTACAATTTGTGCATACACGATATAAATATTGTTTTTCTTCTTTGATTAAATAAAACAACAATAAATATTATAAACAAAAAACTTTTTACAATGTAAAATCGATGTCGTTCTCAGACCCTTACTGATCAAAGAGGAACAACTCTGAAAATGTAGGAGATGTTTATTTTCCTCCCTTTATTCACGGTTTTCCACAGAATCAGATACATTTACAGCAAGACGTGATAAATCCGAGAATTGAATACTATAGACCTCATATACACAATGTAAGTATAAAATTGAAAAGAATTGGTCACTTGTACTGAAATTATCCTCATTTATGAATATCCTATTGCAGCAAATCGTAACTTTGACTTTCTGTCAACAATGTCGGTTCGCATTTCCTCGAATCAAAACAAAACGTAGCCTGTAAGATTTAAAAAAAATATCAATGTGGGATTTGATATAAATTGAGATAGATGAAGAGTTTAATGTTTGATATTTTGAAGTTAATGTGGACGAATACGGAATTTTCATTTTAACTTCAGAAGCGACGACATTGAAAGAAATGCGTACAATATTATCATGTCAGAGGGGTGTATGTAGGCTACATCTAATGCAAATGTCGATGTATCCCCACAGCCACATACTGTCTCGTTTGAAATAATGACATGAAAGAAACTACAATTATTCCATTTATATCACAGGACAGGAGAGTTGAACATACACCATTTTTTAATGAATAAAATTAAAGAAATAAAATTAAAAATCAACATATTCAAGTTCAACAAAACTTGAATTCGTATCCAGGTTTCATGTGATATGGAATGCATAACGCATACGTACAGTATATGGACTAAACACTAAAATCTTTCAGTAATTTTTTCCTGATACATATAAAAAGAGTAGTCAATATTTATTCTGCATTCATGAATTTAAAAACTAATGCATACCTCCGGGATTCTTGACGAAATACCAGTATATTTGCACTGTAAACGACGTTTCGTCAAACGCTAATGGTCTGCGATGCAAAAAAGGAAGGGGTGGGGGTAAAAGGTGTATTCAAAAATTGCCTAAAAATCTACATTTAAATACGCTTTACATATGAGAACTTTTAAATTTGTAAGTTAATATATTTTTGAAGCAAAATCAATATTCCAATTTAATTTTTTAATGTGTATTTGTAGATTCATATAACAAAGTGATCGACCCGTCTGAAAGACGCGCGGGAACGTGATTTATTGAGAAAGGGGGAGGGGTAATTTTCCGCTATTAAATCAAAACTGGTCGTACAAAAATTATACAAAAAATTATGAAGATTATTTTTACTACCAGCTACCTAAAGAAAGTTTTTTATCAAAATTAAACGACAGGTTTTTTCACAAAAAAATTTTGAATTTGAAAAATACGCAATTTTCAAGGCTTAGAAAATTCATAGTTTTTCAGTTTAAGGTCTTTAAAAATTGTTTTGATGATATGTATATCAAAAAGATGATTATGTTTTTGTGTTAAATGGTTAAAAGAATAAGCCAATGAAATTTGACATTTATATCTAACCTGGTTTTATTGAAAATCAAGGTTTAAGTAGTTCATTGATTAAAAATTTTCTCTCCTTGTAAACAATTAAAGGGGGGTAACTTTCGGAAGTTCCTGTCCAAAAACCACTCGAACGATTTTGTCCAAAATATGCATACATGCAGTAGATATAGTCATGTACTTAATATACAAAAATAACGAAAATTAAACGACAGGAATTTTTTGGGGTAGGTGTGTTGTACATCCTTAAATAAGTTAGGCTAGTCACTAAAACTATTTAAGGCTGATTCCTTAGCCCAGTTCCCAAAAGACAGATAACAAGTTCTTGATAAGAAATGTTCTACAAGTTAGCTCCTTACACTAAACTAATTAATTTCTCTCTAATTTGACATTCAATTTTCTGTTATCAAAATTCTCCTTGACCAGTGCTTCATAATTATACCCTTGGGAGAGGTAGATTTTCTCTTATAAAATAACATTTATTATGGATTGCTGTAAAGTATATAATGAAAAAAAAAAATTCTTAATTTAACATGATTTAAATAGGGATACTGCAACATTCTTACATTTTTTGGGATTGATTATTTCAATAGTAAAAGACAGTTATTTTTTTTAAATTTTACTTTAATTAAAGGTCACAGTGACCTTGAAATAGGTCATGACACACCTTCTACCCAAGATGCATAAATTGACCAAGTTTGATGATTGTAAGTCTAATAGTTTTCTAGTTATGAGCCAAACAAAACAACAAAATAAAAAAGAAAAAATGCCTGTAAAATGCAGAAAAAATCATCCAATCATGATGAAAATACCAGGTGCACAACTTCATATGGTGAATAATAAGTGTACAAATTTTCAGACAAATCCATCCAATAGTTTCTGAGAAACGGTCCGGACAAAATCTTGTCTACAGACAGACGGACATGGTGATTCCAATATACCCCCCTAAACTTCGTTTGCGGGGGTATAATAAAAATTAGCACCTTTTGTGTGACTTTCTGTCCCCTAATTAATGTACATACTAATATATAATGAACACAAATTTAAATAGATGGGGGTGTAAGTTCACTTTCATGACACATGCCAATCAGTTGACAGGGATTGTGCTCATTTTCAGTGCACTAATTCATGTACATTAAGGTCAAGATCTAGTAAATAACTTGAGACTAATTTTTTTGTGCTAGATCCATTATGACGTCATAATCAATTTCAACTTTCTTTTTCCCGTACTTTACGGCTTTTAAGTTTAGCAGAATTATGTAGAAAATAGGGTATTTTCATGTCATTCAATTTGAAATCATATGAAAAGTAAACCTGATACCTATATTAAATTTGATATTCATTTAAAGAAGAGGCAATGAACATACTAATTACCCTTTTTCTGAGAGACTGTAGGCAATCTGGATACATTTCCTTTGCCGAATACGAACAAGAGGCCCACGGGCCTTATAGGTCACCTGAGCATCATGCAAAACTTTCAAGTAATTGAATTTGGTTCATGTTTCAAGCTAGATACTATGGCATTCACAATTCTAAAAGAGGCACCATTGCTTATCATAACTATACACTTAGCAATTGTTTAGTTTGTTTACTTAATACCCATAAGCAGGGCAGGGGAACAAATATGCATTTCAACTAATCAGTAATATTCAGCAATAATCATAAGTGCCCCTA